GTTGGTGACCAGATGGAGGGGTGGGGGGGGTTAAAACTAAAAAGGATAGTTGTGGCCCCCTATTAGCGGAGGCCCCTCGACTACAGCCCTGGAAAGCCTGTGCATTACAGCGCTCCTGTAAGTCTCTGAACATGAGGCTTTTGGACCTGGAGCATCTCTCTGTGTTCATTCAAACAGGCTGCCGACTGAAAGGCCTTGGTAATGAAACAAGTAGCGATGCTGCAGTTTCTTAGCTCTCGCTCCGCTCCTGTGAATGACTAAATATAGTATAGAGTCAGCCTGTCTAATTAAACGGAAGGTCATGAAACTCAATCGTCTGTCTTCAGTCTCCTGCTGTTATTTATTGTATTGTTTTCATGAGCTGCTGCAAGCAGTCATTCCGATTGCTTGTGCCAAGTCGCGCATTCATCACGGCTAATTTTCTTCACCATGGCCGTGATCAGAGGTGGAAATTTCAGGTCCAAAAAGTACGAATCCAGACCAGGATTTTGTTTCAACCAACCAGTGGAGTACTCTGTAACTGTGACTCTTTATGCTCAACTGGTCGGTTGAAACTAAATCACGGTCTGGATTTGTACTTTCTGGACCTGAAATTTCCACCTCTGGCCGTGATCCGTTTTTGGGTATGACTGGTTCCGACGTGCGTGATTAACAGCTATGGGGGTTCAGCGACATGGAAGCTGGGTGGAAAGGATCCAGAGAGGGAGGTAGAGAAAGAAAGACGGGAATAACCTTCATGTTTACAGACACAGAGTCATTTTCACATTGGGACTTTCAGAGATCGATGCTTTGGCTGAGGAGATCCTAACCTCGTTGTAGGCCTCAAAACTCCCTGCCTTCATTCTCATGTTGACGGGTCCCCTCTAGAAATACCGCCCTTCTTGATATGGCAGCAAAGCAAACAGAAGGGGGAAGATTCTGGAAAAAAAGGGCACCTGGCAGAGATGAAAGGTGAAACACCCTAGGAAGGCACAGCATCTGAACAATCAGGCCGCTCTGAATCCTGTAATCCTCTTGTAATCCACTAAATCCAATAGCATTTTTTTTCCAGGATACCTTCCCCAAGACACAAGCAAAAATCACATGCTATTCCACTGAAAACGGGTGGTGTCTCTCTACATCCTGCTGTTTCCTTTCCACAGCCAATATGAATGTTACTAAAGCAGTCAAAAATCACCAGACCTGGTGTGACAAATACAGATAATGTCAAATTAAGCTAACAACGCTTAATGTTCACGTCTCACAGATCTACACGTCCAAACAGAAATTTTATAGCAGCATTAACTGCAGTCTTCCAGATAGACCACATCATAATTTTCAGACTTTATCACACGCTTATCTTAATTGCAGGTTTCCATTACGAATTACTTTGAAAAATCTTCCTGATCGGTTAAAGACACAGTGAATAAAATACAGACACATTCATCATCTGGCTTTTTACGCAGCAGTTCCCAGCCAAGACCCCAGGCCAACACCTGCCAGTCCATATCTTCATTCTAGTCTACCTGCCCTAGCCAAGTCAACAAGGGTAGTTTATAAGCAGCTGTGAAGTAATAGTAATACCAGGTGGTGGAACGCAACTAAAATGTGGACAGGCTTTGGAGGCCAGGCTGAGATTCTTGGCCTTAATAGAACAGGGTATTCCACTTATGGTAGTTTGAAGCAGTGTCAGCACAGCTCGGAATCAAAGTTCTCCTGAACCTCTGGGGTATGACACTTTTAGCTGCTGCTCATATGAATGCCTCATACAGGTAACAATGTCTGACATTTGTGAGAATTGCTTTAATCACAGTGTGGGGGGAGGACTACTCAGGAGTTGGTAAGCGGTGGGAAGTTCTTGGGAGGTTCTCATAATGACATACTAGAGACGGGCTCCCTCTGCAGGCTTCCCGACCTGCTGGAATTGGCCTCCATGGTGGAGCTCCAATAAACGTGAAGGGCCACAGGTGGGTTGCTAGCCAGGTCCCCCTACACCCCCTCCAAAACCCCCATAATGCTCTGAGGTTTCAGTCAGAGTCACCCGTGGATCTGTGGGCACTAACGAGCGATGCACATTCTCTCCTGGGTAAACTACTAAGTTACAGAGTAAAAATACTAGAACTCGTGGCCATAAGTGGAAATTAGCGGGAGAACATTTTAAAACAAATTTGAGGAAGCACTTCTTTACACAGCGTGTAGTTAGAGTATGGAATAGTCTTCCTGCTAGTGTAGCGGAAGCTAAAACCCTAGGTTCCTTTAAATCAGAGGTCGATTAAATTTTAACATGTCTGAGCTATTAGTTAAGTTCTCCCCAAACGAGCTTGATAGGCCGAATGACCTCCTCTCATTTGTAAATGTTCTTATGTTCTTATGCCTCGCTTGCTGAAAGCAAGCAGCTCACAGAGTAAAGGGCAGGAGCATCAGAATGTGCTCCATTCTCCATCTGCCGTCCCCCCACATCGGCCTCAGAGCGGTAGGTGCGATGGAGGCTTACAGTGATGACTGCAAAGTGAGGAATGGAAAAAAAATAAAGCATGCAAAGGTGAGACCCCTTCTCTGACAGACATCCACACACTTCCATGTGCCTCTCGCCCTCTAAATGGCTCAGGGTAGCAGGTTGGGAAGCAAAGGTCGAATTACACCTCCTCTACCCAATCAGAGCCACCATCCAATCAGAGAAAAAGCCCACTGACCCCTCACTTCCCTCAGTTGACATATCCCCCCCATAGAAAAAATCCAAGGAGAAACTGGAAGAGAAATGGAAGCAGACAAAGGGATCCGTCCAGGCTGGTGTATGCGTGCAGGGGCACAGACGAGCCACAGACATTCAAGAGTCACTGCGATCCATCGAGGAGTAAATTACGATTTCAGCATAGCGACTGTTTCTGAAAGACAGAGACTAAAGGTTCTGGGTGCATCATTAAGCCGACGCCGGCTTGCGAGAGGCAAATGACTGTGTTTGGCTCATACTAAACAATCTGCAACATAAGGGGAACAAAAAAAAACCACGTTGGCAGTTATGGATTTAAAGCCCAGGCTGCACGACTGTGGCAGGACTGCAGTCATCCGCTAAAAGGTGTCAACGCCACACTAAAACTGGGACACTGGAATCTCGGGCATAGATGTAAAATATAGATTGACTGATGCACCGCCTGTAAGGAAAGCAAATCGTCTTTAATCTGCAATCGGAACCAAGCCAGATGAGGAGATCGATATTCTGGTGCGATGTGGATTCTCGCTCCCGTCTTCGGCCGTAGCGGCGCCTTGTGGAAGGTAAAGTCTGCAGGGAATCGGGTCCACTTTCCTGTAGGTGCCGCGCTTTTAAGTACCATGGCGCTCGGGGACCCACGGCAAATCATTGGTGGGAATTACTCTTTACACGCCATTAGTGCTCTCTGCTGAGCTGTTCCCGCTGCTGTTCGGGACATTAGTTCATCAGCAGAACTTAAACGGGGAGACATCAGCACATTGCGGGAGGAGCCGGAGGCTCCGGGGTTCAGAGGGACACGGAGAACAAGTCAGCACATCAAGGGCTGGGACTTACTACAGCAAGGGCGGAAATGTTATGGTATGGAAGACCATCGCATCACTATGGTGAACGGTCTATTAGTGTAACAACCATTGTGCAGATACCCAGGTCTCCAACCTTCAACTAAGGAAGTATAAACGAAAGGCTGCTCTGGTCTGTACCTGCAAAGTGTGCCAACGTGTAGTTTAAGCCAAGAAGGATAATAAATGAAGCAACAGAAGATAGATCAGGTTATGTTCAGCAGCTCAAGAGGAGGGTTAATGGAAAGAGCACAGTGTTCTGCCTGTCTGAGACAGCAAAACAAAGCACAAAAAATAAACAACAATTTAAAGAAAACAAGCGATACTGCAAAACAAGTCAGTAGAAATGTACAATAGTGGTCAAAATTGTGGAAACACTTCCAATCTTTAGAGATTACAGAACTTTATTCAACTGTTGCTCCAGTTATTTTACAATTATCATACAATGAACGGTTAAAGAAGTAATTGGAGCAACAGTTGAATAAAGTTCTGCAATCTCTAAAAATTGGAAGTGTTTTCAGAATTTTGGCCACTAGTGTAGTTCTCTTCTTCTGTTCCAGATCTTTCTCTCAGTTCCTCACTCATATTGAACAAAAAGGATATTGTTTTTTTTATTATTATTTTGGCAGTAAAACAATGCATTTTGAGTACAGAGCACAGTGTCTCTGTACAGTTGGTTTTAATATTTAATATATATAAAAAATGGCTGCTAAGGCCAGAACATTGACCAGAGAGAGTCAGTGGTACTTATTACAATTTTAATCTAATTATGACTATATGAATTTCTTGACCATTTCCTTTATTTTATAGAAGCTGTACTTTGTCTCCAGCCTGAGTGGGTGGCAGGGAATTAAGTTTCAGCCCCCCTTATCTAAGGTTTCACTTTTGGGTCTTCGCTTGTTACTCCTTAAACTTCTTTAGCAGAAGTTTTAGCAAAATTGACTATGTAGAGCTCTGTGTCAACTTCCTGGCAAAGCTTTGGCATGGCTAATAAAATCCAGCTGATTGACTGTCACCATTACAAACACAATGTTGCATACAAAATTGGATGAATTTTATAGAAGACCAAACTGGCATGAAAAGGACAGGTTCTCAAGGCAATCAGGACCCAGGGGTCATGTCAGGCAACTCGGGTGTTTATCAGTATGCATACTTGACCGTACTTGTGTTCTTGTGTATCCATTTTATGTCATCTTCCATTACCGAAGACGAGATCCAATACTCAAGAACAGAAGTACAGAGGATGGCAAAAATCCCCGGATGTCATTCTTGCCCCGTGCCAGATATCAAGGATACATCGGTTGCATCCTTGCTGAACGAGACCAATTCCATGATTCATTGCACCCCAAGTTTCTTCTTGGAAGGCAAGTTAGCAAGACCGGTCTTGCCAAGACCACAAGTACTATCTTTGCGTTCTTGGTACTGAGAAACGCTCCTCATCAGGCACCTCATCAGCCACCTGAATGACTCACCACTGAGAAGTCCTCTGCACTGCACTCGGCACCACGGTAACGGCAGGAAAGCAGCATGTCCTTGATGTCGTGACCTGTGCGGTCGTAGAACTCGCGCATGTTGAACGGACGCGGCCTGAAGTTGTGGAAGTCGGCTTTCACCTTCAGCGTCTCCAGGACACTTTCCTCCACCAGATGTGTGTCCCGGATCTCGTACCTGAGAGGGGAGAAAGAGGTAGAATCATTTCAAAGTACAGTCCTACTTCTCAGAGGAACTGGCATCCTGTCCATAGTGTCCCCTGCCTTACGCCCTGTGACGGACTGGCATCCTCTCCATAGTGTCCCCTGCTTTACTCTGTGACGGACTGGCATCCTGTCCATAGTGTCCCTTGCTTTACGCCCTGTGACGGACTGGCATCCTGTCCATAGTGTCCCCTGCCTTACGCCCTGTGACGGACTGGCATCCTGTCCTTAGCGTCCCCTGCTTTACTCTGTGACGGACTGGCATCCTGTCCATAGTGTCCCCTGCTTTACGCCGTGACGGACTGGCATCCTGTCCATAGTGTCCCCTGTTTTACTCTGTGACGGACTGGCATCCTGTCCATAGTGTCCCCTGCTTTACGCCCTGTGACGGACTGGCATCCTGTCCTTAGCGTCCCCTGCATTACTCTGTGACGGACTGGCATCCTGTCCTTAGCGTCCCCTGCCTTATGCTGCCTGGGATAGGCTCCAGACTCTGGATGCCGATTTACTGGAGACACAGTTGGAAGATGTAGACAGAAGATGAACAGAGTAAAGAATTTTTAACTCTCTTTTTGAATTATTTGAGGAATAAAGAAAATAATCAGCAAAAAGGAGCAGTGTAATTATTTGTTTGGTGTGCAAATCACCCTGGCCAGGAAGGGAAACAGAAGACGGTGACAAAGACCAGGTGGCTGGTTGATAGGGATTCCCTCTTCAGGGTTATGGAGACAGGGATAGGGCGGAAAGCGGGCCAGAATGAGGCAGGCAAGGAAACACGGTATCCAAATTTAGGTGTGGACATCAGGGATAAACAAATCACTACAGGATGAGATCTGGGATTAGGGCCGGTTTGCTGGTAGTGACAGGGAAGGAAGCAAACATTTATAGTTATTCATGACACTAGGAACAATGTGGCACAATATCCCTGTCACCTGACCGTACTGCCCACCTCACATGTGGAAATCCAGATTTTAGATAGACATTTGGTTATATTCAACCATCCATAGTCACTTATCCAATAAAGGGTCGCAGTCAACTTGGAGCGTATCCCAGCGAGCATAGGAGCCACCTGGACAGGATCCCAGGCCAGTGCTAGACATGTGTGAGTATATACGTGAGCCATATGATGAGCAGACATTATAAGAAGATGCTGATCTTTCTATTGCACTGACCTTGTTTTTCTCCAGAACAAGTAGAACAGTAAGAATCTGACACTGCTTTCATTGTTTAACGAACCCTGTTTAGTTCATTTGAGCTTTTCCCCCAAATATACAGTATCCAATGTGAATTCTTTAACAAGGCAGCTATTTAAATGAAAATGCATTATACCTTCATTATACTGTAAATACCTTTCAGCACTGGAGCATATCTATTTAAAGGCTTTGTCCGCAATCATCCTGCAGTCCAAAGACCCGCAGTTAGGCTAATTGGTGACTCTAAATTGACCTTAATGTGTAATGCTCTGTGTATGTGTGAGGGCTGCAATGGACTGGCATTCCACACAATGTGTTCTCCAGCTATTTGCCTCGAGTTGCCTGGGATTGACTCCAGGCCCCTTCACGACGCTGACCAGGATAATCAGGTACAAGATGGATGTGTAGAATCATAGAGATGTATTATTTCCCATAAAATGTTGAGCGCCACGCACATTTCAAGTACAAGCATTAAAACTCTACATTTTATTTTATCCAAGTTGGACACTGAGGACGATTAATGAAAAAGGGAAGATAAAAACAGAAGCCTTTAATGGAGAGACAGATAAGGCTTAGCAGTTTCCTGTGTGTTGTTTAATATAATTTCATGAAATGGCCTAAGGTTTTAACAGACTGATTTACATGGCATTAAAATTAGAGATGCGACTAATCTTTGTATTTCTAATGAAAATGAAACTGGCCAGACCAGCAGAAACCTTCAGCGTAAATAATAAGCCTTTACTCAGTGTTTCGTCTCATACATCCATCAAAGAATCGTTCTTTAGAAAGCAGGACTTCCAGTGAGGTTTTCCATGCAAAGGAAAAACCCAGAAAGGGCGAATGAACTTTAAATGGAAAAGACAGGCATAGTGACAGTGAATGATGTGTGTGATTGTGGTGCCCCGGAATTTGCCCGATTCATTCATGTATGGTAAAGCCAGAGGAAGACTTGAACCATTTGAACATGGTTTTATCACAAGATGAAGTGGAGTGCTCTTCTTTATCTTTCCTTCAGGAAAATCTCTCACAGGCAATCCCAGAATCCACTGCACTCTTTACCTTCTTCATCAGACTTCTTAAATCGCTCTATTGTTACTATCTGCTACTTACTGCTTGACACGTTTTCTTCCAACTGCTACGTACGTATGTATCTATTTCATAATGGAATATATCATTCTGAATAATCAAAATGTCGTTTGGCTTTGTTCAATACTTATTTTAATCAAAGCCCCCCACTGACAGGCCAATTCATCCATCAGCTCCAAATATGCAAATATGATTAAATTCAGTCCACAAACAGATTCCTCCAGGACACCAAACTGGACTGAACATTACCAGTATGAATGGTCCACATGCACCTATACATCCAATAACCACTTATTGATCTTGAGACTGTTCTGGGCAGAGCACAAGCTGAACAGGATGCCAGTTCATCCCAGCTCAGTCATACAGTAAGACTCTCTGGTTCCCCAGAGCCCTATCTCTCTGTGAGTTGTGGCAGAAACCAGAGCATTATGGGAAACCGCATGTGGACAACGGGGAAACTCCACACAACAGAATCGGATTTGACCCTGTGACCTGGTGTCGGACGATAGCATGGCCTTCAGAGTCATTGCCCGACCCACAAATGTGACGTCTAATTACTGCCCTCAGGTCCCAAATATAGTAGGAGAGTTCATGAAGCACCAGGTTAGCTGGAATGGCAGGACACCCTAACTAGCAAAACAAATAATCACACCTAGGCCTTGTGCCACTCAGGGAGGTACCACCTGAATCTAGGGGAGCAATTCACCCTCCAAAAGCCAGGTGGCGCTCTCACCAGTTCTGTTCATGATTGGGATGCTTCTACACTTTGAATGTGCATTAAAGTAGACATTTCAAAACAAATGGCTGAGACTGGGTAAAGGAGAATTAGCAGGAGTCAGTTTGTTGCAAGAGAATTATTCCAACCTGGCATCTAATTTTTGCTCATTTTTGTTATTTGTACTGTTTGTGCTGTTCCATGGCTGGAACCCACAACTGCACAATCGCTCTGGACTACTGGCTCATCATTATCTTTTCATCTTGGACTGCAGCCCATCGGAGGGGGCACTCCTGATTGCCCCCCTCCCCCAGAATCTCCATTAGGACTCATATCATTTCTACTTTTGTAAGGTTTGAAGCACCCCAGTGCACTGGTTGTTCTGTTCTGCTGTTCACCATCTTCGTGCTTGGTGGATCATCACACCACTTCATTTGTATAACACGCAGGTTGCACTTACTGGGGGTGTTGTACAATGATAGTTTGTTTATGCATTATGTATTTAATATTTATATGCTAATACAAATGCCTCCTTGGTCTGAAACAGGGGGTAATTACATCAAGATGCTGCTTTTATCCAAAGCAATAATTTTTAAACCATTTATAAACTTAATATTTTTAAATGAGCCAAATCAATTACATTTTCTCAAGGGCACTACAAGAGGGGCCTCTTCAGGGATGTGAACCAACACCCTCCAGGTTAAGAGCACCACATCGTTAACCTCGTATAACTGCTGCCCCTCAGTGTTAGGTCATGCTAATTACTCTGAATCTGGTATGCTGCCAGGTAACTTAAACGGCAAAGGGTATTTATATCTTACTTTGCTCAAACTGATTTGTACTATAAAGATTATAATTGTGTTCCCTAGCAAAAAAAAATAATAATTTTGACCATAAATATTTCAGTTTAAAAACAAATGATATCTATTCAAAACACTTTGAACTTATTTCATCTTGTCTAGACAGTAGAAAAATAACTGGAGAATGAAACTGCAGGTCAGCCTAATCATTTATTCATGCATGTGTTTGTAACAGCAGAATAAATCATTGTTGTCTTCTCATGTCTCTATTTTTCCTTTTAATCTTTGTCCATTGTTCCAAGTGGGCCTCCTTCCAGCATTTTAACAATGCACCCAGGTGCCTCTCTGGTCACTGGCTTTCCTCAAAAATTAACGCGACAGCTTCCCAAAAAAGCCCATTGCTGACACACAGATCAAAGCGAATGCCTTTGCACAGGATTGAAAGGAAGACGCCGGGCAGGTGGAGGATGGCAGTTACATGTGTGATTTGGGGAAGGGGCCCATCCTCATGTGCTATAAACAAACAAACAAACAAACAAATGACCAAATACAGACAACAATAGGTTGCCAATGATGGATACACTGAAGAAATTCCTGAGTAAAATGCTTAAAAGAGATCCAGTGACTGCAGGTTACTGGTGATACTACAATGTTCAATGCTTTGCATATGTTATTTGCATCAAATTGTTAATAATCGTTCTCTGGCCAATGCGGTTCATACACACTGATCCTTTGAGGCTGCTGAGTTGCTGTATGTGCACCGCTCCGCCCTAATTGCCATCTGTAAGGGACAGCCCCTGACGGTCATCTAAATCTGCGCACACACTTCAGTCATATCCTTTACTCACCAAAACTGCTCATTATCCAATCTCTTAGAGTCAGATGTTCCTTGAGAGTTGGGTTAAATTACACTTTGAAATCGTGCAATGGGTGGAAAGACTATGCAATGTCAATCAATGCTTGGGAATCAACAGGAAGTTCTGCATTTGACATAATCCGACTCCCACAGGGCGGAACGACTCACTTCTCCCATTTTTGTTTTTTTGCTGACTGTGAGATATCTCCCCACACAGGACTCTCAGTGCTGCCACACTAGGCCACTGGCCTAGCAATGCCGTCAGATTTATGCATCCCACAGTGCTCCACCTACAGCAGTATACTTGCATTAACGATTCCCCAG